GGGGGTTGAATAGTGTTTTAAATTATTTTGCAATAGTTGTTATTGTAAGGGTTAGATGGTTTGCATTAGTTGTTAGACATGTGTGTTTTTAATAATACACTTTAGGAAAACGTTTTAAACAAGGGAAGTAGTATCACACAAGTATTTTTATACCAATTCACTCAACATAAGCTACTTCCACTCTTCCTTAAGACCTTTTAAGGGGTTCCACTAATCTTCTTTAAAGATTACAAGCGAGTACAAAACACTCCTTGTATACATCAAGTATTATCAACCACTCCCAGTTCCCCTAGTCAATCCTGACTACTCTGAGTTTAACCACTCTTGGTATCAACCCCAAACAACTGTATAGAACATTTAACTAAATAAAGTTAAATAATACAAGTGCTTTAATTCACTTTGATTACAAGTACAAATTCAAATAACTCTCAGAGAAAGAATAAATTCAATACAATGAAATATGAGAACTTGTAAATTTCTTTTTCTTAGAATGAAGCACTTTAGACGATATGAACTTTGAGAGCAACATAGTAAGTATTCAATGATCTTTCTTGTATATGTTCTTTTTCTAACATTTTTTCTCTGCTGCGAATCTTCTTTATATAGCCTTCATTGAGAGATGACCATTTGACACAAAGTTGACTTCCAAATAGTCTTCATAGCCTATTAGGTAGCTAGTCAGACTTTGGTCTACGTTGTATAGTGATAGTGCTTTATTAATGCTTTCTTTCATAGGTAGCTTATAGTCTTTCAAAGCTAAAAGCTTTGAGAAAATATTATAGGAATGTCTTCCTATCTCTCAACATCTTTTTGTTCATTGTGCACAGCTTCTAAATAAAGCATGATATTAACATTACCTAAACAAGCAAAGAGAGAAAAGTAAGCAAGTAAAGAATCACTTTTTCGTACAACATTAAATGTTTTAAATTTTGATGATCATTGCACACGTTGCGTGTTTAAAACACTTTAGAACATGTTAGTATCTTTTAATAAAAGAATCATTTGAAGCCAATGCGTTCGATGTGTTACACTTAGATGATATGATCTTCATATATGCTTGTTTCATAAAGCTATCTAAGTTATAATACATCGTTTAGTTATGCTTTAGCAAAACTAACTTTTAGACGCTTTATTTTGTTCAGACGTTATATCTTTTGTTTTGGCGCTGTAATATTTAGATACTCTATTAGGAGTTCTACAACCTTTGATGCTTTTTATGTCTATGCATTTAGACACGTTTGAGATATCAAATATTTAATATATCATTTGATAACATTTAGCGCGTTATACTGATATGCTAGATGATTTGTTTTGTTAGACGCTTAGTGGTTCAACACATTTGTATATTAAATCTTAGGCATCAACATTTAACTCAATGTTTACTTGGAATATGTTTCTATTATATCACACGCTATTTGTGTTTAAACATAATTTACTTTAAGTATTTTATTCTTTATAAATGTTTATCTTGTTCAATACTTTGGATAGACTATAGACTGTTATGTCTGATAAACACTTATTTCATTCAGTATCATTCTTTAGTACATACAAATGTTTAGACAATACATTCTATAATCAATATTTCATTGAGTGTTGTTTGTTAGACTTTAAAACAAGAGTTGCTAGACAGTCTAATCTCTCTAGACAATCTTGTCTTAACATATACTCCCTCTCTTCATCTTGGGCCATCATGGAGTTTCTAGAGTAGGAATAATTTTGAGTTTTGTATTTTGGGCCAAGTAGTTTAGGATTTATTTGGGCTTTGTATTATGGGCTAAGTAGTATATGATTTGGTTTGGGCCTTGTATTTTGGACCAAGTAGTATAGGGTTTTTAGACCAATTGGGTCAACAAAGGTCAAGGCCTAATGTTGACCCAAAGTGGATGCCCATGAGCTTAGGTTGACAATATGGTCAAAGTTTTAACCTAACTTGATGAATAAGGGTCTGTGGACCTCCCATGTGATACTGGCCATGTGTCATGCTCACGTTGGAGAGGTTTTCTCATAATTAATGAACACATCTCACTCTAAGAATGGAAAGGATTCTCCATGAGCAGTGACCGCATGTCGTCCTCTTATTGGAGACACCTTAGGTCAATGTAGCATTTTTAGGGTTTTGCTTCTACAGTTTGGAGACACCTTAAGCCTACAAATAGAGGTATCCCTGTATAAACTCATCTTTGAATATTAGTAATGTTAAGTTGTTATTTTTGAGTCATACTACTCATCTTAGGTCACCAAAGGCTAAAACACTTCATGCGGTCTCTTCTATCAACCTTCCTCTAGAATTGGCCTAACATCTCTTAGAGCACCATCAAACACCACCCCATCATCATCCAAGCACAATGAGCCTTCTTTCTTAAAATTCACCAAATTGTGCACCATCTTTTCCTTTTTTTCCATCACCATAGCTTATTTTTTAGCTTTGACCCAACTTAGCTAACCTAGCTAAGGAGGTTGCTATGAATTTATAAGCTTCCAATGTATTTTGCCATTTTGAGGCACGATTCCTATAATTTTTTTTTTTTCAGAAAAACAAGTTAATAAAATTCTTCTTACCAAATTCTAGACTTGTCAAATTAACCCGTTTCATAGGTCTCGGCTCTAACCCACGTGGGTTGGAGTCAAAAAAGCCCACAAGACCAATAAAATTCATTATTAAAAAAGCTCACAAGACAAAATATCCATAAAGTCTTATGCGTTAGGGTCATTCCATGAACCTTTCTCTTATGTGAAAAATATAATAATAAACCATGAAAAAAATATAATGATAAGCTACATTAGGCGTAAAAAACGTTTTCGGGTTCTATATTCATGGTAATAAGGGGGATAATTTTAGTTAATGCAACAAACAATAAGATTTTCATAATGTATTAACACAATTGTTTCATTACAGTGGTGATTTTACACTAAAAAAGTTATACTAAATCGTCCCTCAATAATACAGGAAACTGTTGTAAGGTTTTCGACATCACTAAGTACTTCTTTTGGTCTTCCATTCTTCATATTATGCAAAATAATTATTACATGAAAACAAGCACCATTTTCAACTGCACTAATAAACCACAAATCTATTAATTTAATCAATTATTTATTTATCTAATTGCAAACACAATCAGAACAAATAGCATTGATATGTTGAGAAGTTCAGTATCTAAGTGAAGCAGCCAAAGTGAGTGATTTACGCTTATCAGTGCATCTAATTCACATACCTTAAGCCTTCCCATGGACGGAAAAACATTTACAATTTTTGGGGAGCTTGAAAACTGAAGGAGGGGAATAAGTTTTTTTGTTAATTCCTTGACTTCATAAGCTAAAATAATAGTTTATGTTAATCAAATTTCAAATAAGCTAAAATCTAATATCTAATAGTTTATTTATATATCACTGAAATAATATTTTAAATAAGAAATGCTTAAATTAAAATAAAAATGACGTGACACTTCTTCGTATGTAAGTGGATTTCATGAATTTTTTCCCACAACATCTTCTTGATATTCTTCTCCTCCTCATTGTGAAGATACACACCAACATCACAATTATAAACCAGTTACAGAGTAGTATACAAACATACAATTTAAACCAACAAAATTACTTGGGTTAAGATTAAATCATTCATAGTGATAAATTAACAGTAGAATCGACCAATGTCATTTTATGATAATACACACATTGCTGCAACAACAAAATATTACGGTAGAAACACCATAGAGTGTCCAAAAGGACTCTCTCAAGATTTTATCCTAATCTCTTATATTCATTGTTCTGGAAATACTAATGGTCCAAACACATTCCTAGACTTTGTAACTATCAATCTTTGCATAATAATGTTTGTGACAACCCTTTCAGAGAATTCAATGCAGCGATATTCACTTATGTTATTGATTCTAGATGACAATGAGGATAAGATTTTAAGAGTGAGCTAAAGAATATAAGTTTTCATTTGAACTTAAGTGAAATTGAAGAAACATTGAGAATAAGGAACAAATTCCGAATTTTAGAATAATGATTTGTAGACATTTTCACATATATACATTTGATTAAAGTAATGATTAGCAGATATTTTCACAATATATACATTTGATTATATTTTTTTTATTTTTTTCATTTTTTTATATATCATATCGTTTTCTAATATTTAACATAACAAAAATGCGGATGCAATAATTTTCTTTCTATTTGCCATTTTCTGTGTACATTATTCATAAAACTCAGACCAAATCCGATGATTAAGTTGAATTTTCTCTTCCAGATTAATTTCTATACAACATTTAGAAAAAATAGAAAAAAAAACAAATTAAATTCTTTATAAATTAAAATTAATTTATGTAAAAATTAAAAATAAATTTAAAAAAGCTTTTTCATAAATTAATTCATGTATAGACTAATTTTAATTTTATAAAAAAATTGTTTTATTTTTCCAGTATCCTCTTTCAAAAATTTTAGGTGGAAGTTCAAGTAAACATATGGATTTATCTGCTAGACCTTACTATTGTGGTTATAATTTATTGCAATTCCGCCAACAAAAACAGGTGTTAAAAGGGTCTTTCTAGAACGCCAATGTATGTCAGATAACGATAGACATCATCCAAAGTGTTGAGATTTTAAGATGGCTAGTGATATTATTGAACAAGAGTCTAGAAAATCTCCAGATTAGGATTAACATGTATGATACATAAAATCTATAAAAAAACCACAGTTTCTTAATCTAAAGAAGGAGCCAGACTTGAAGTCCCAGGCTCACATATCATATCATATCATCATACAGTCATAAACGTTTTTTTAAGAGAAAAAGAAAGTAGTCAAGTATTGAAAATTGCAAGTGAAGTGAAATTGGCTCTTAATCTGTCTTCTTTTCTGGAAATTGGGATTTGTTGTGAACCACAGATAGCTTGTCCTCTGCTGACTTAGCGAAGATCTCTCCCTTCTCTTGGAAATACCTCTCAAAAGCTCTTGGAAGGAAGCAAGGAACCAAGAACATGAATAGATTGATGGAGAAATAAACCAGATTCGCCACTGCCAGAAACTTCCCGAACAAATCCCACGCCATGTCCTACACGCATTGCAACACTTGAAAGTCATTCTTTTCACACATATACATGCACACCAGACATAAGTTCTAGTAGCAATGATATAACATTATTAAAAAATGAATCATAGAAACCAAATCACCACTCAAAATTCTTTAGTATTATTTTTAGTAACTGGTTCTGTATGGTTATTATGCACACCCTAATTTGAAGTAATTATCTGTTTAAATTGTGAAAAGTGAATAACTTGAAAAGGAATGCCTGCTCTCATACACAACTCTTCAGTTTGGATAGAGATAATTGAGGTGAGTCTGATAACAAATAAAAGTTTAAAGTCTAATAATTAATCACCAGATGTATAGGAAGATCAATGACTTATGGTAAAGATCTTTAAAGTCATAAGTTCTGAGTAAAATCATATTTTATTCCATTAAGATTTTAGTCATTTCCTTCATCTTTTAATATCTACCCAAGTCATAGGATGAGTTCATAATTTTGGTGCAAGAAAAATACCTGAAACCTGGCATTGACAGGCAAAGTCTTGTTGAGCCAGACATCATGAATCCAATCAATATCCACAAAGATCCTCTTGACTGTGTAGAGCAAGGGAACCATGGCCCTCACAGGTGGTGAAAACAAAGACAACCCTCCAATGATGTTCTCACTCAATATCTGAAAGGACAACAAGAACAAGTGAGGGGTGGCTGAACGCACAGCATGCTCATCCCCTCTTGCAAACCCTCCAAGCACATAAGCCAATGGCAAGAACAACCCCACAGTGGTTCCAAGAACCACATACATTCGGAACATTCTGCTCCCTTTGAATAGCTCAGTCCCCGACCCAGATGAATCTGATGACGATGATGATGACGACTTTGATGGAAAGGCAAAATATGAGAGTGCCAAGATGTAAGCAGAGGCAAGTACAGGGAAAACTAGGTCAAGGAGTGGGATAAGCCCACTTGCCGAGAACACCAAAATGAAGGCCACAAGCTGAAGCTCTATCATGCGTAGTGAACCCATCATGCCACCATGTGAACCCTCTTCTGCTCGCCGTTTAGACTTCATGCCTGCTGAAGACACCCTTTCTTCTCCCGTTGCTGCTGGTGGACGAGACATTGCTGGAGACACACCAGACATTTTCTTCTTCTTTATTCACTTCCTATAGAAACAAATTTAAACAAAGACGTTACATAACCATAAGAAGAACAGTTAGCCTCGTATATTCTTCTTTTTGCTGTAGATTTGAATTAGTCTTCAATGCAAAGATTTAGTACAGAAGTGAAACTAACACATAAAACTGTATCTATATATGTGTTTAGATAAGAGAGAAAAAGAGAAATATATTAGATAGACACTTACAAGAAGGGTGGTGAAGGAGAGAAAGAGTTGAAGAGGAGAGTAAGAAAAGAGAAAATGGTGTAAGAAGAGAGGAAGAGGAAGAAGTAGAAGTTTTGGTGGAAAATGATGGCGTAGGCGATGAAAGAGACGAAGGAAAGGATGAGTTTATGATCCTAATTTGGTGCAAAGAGAGATAAAGAACCATGCCACGCGAATGCAGCATGCACGACACTTGTTCCTCTGTTAGCTTATCACTCTCCATTGATCTCCACCTGTTACATTCTAGTTATAGCTATTGCCCAACACAATTCTTCTTTCCCTTTTCTTCCTTCCTTCTTATCCTTTCTGTTTTCTTCTTAAGAATCTATTTTTTTCCTAGAATAATTTAAATAGAAGTAATAATACTAATTATAATAGCCAAAAGTATAACATTTATTTACTATGTTGGCTATGCTATTGACATTTTTTACTATTTTGGTATTACTTTAGAATTAATTTAATTTTAGGTTCATCAATACTAACGTCGGTTACACTTGTGCGACGACGACCCCAGTGAAATCTATTTCATGTTCTTTGTTAACCTAACATTAGAAACATTGCCACCAAACCAAATCAAATTCATGGAATTTGATGAATTTTTCTACCCGAGCTATGGTTAGGAGAATGAAAGAAAAAAGAAAGACTTCAAAAAAAACTCTACTCTTATTTAGAATAGTTTATTAGTTTGTCTTTTTTTTTTCTTCTTAGTTTTTTAAAAACTGAAACACATTGTAAACTCTAAAAGATGGTTAAATAGAGTTTTTAAAACTTTTTTTTTAAATAAGTCTTTAAGTTCTTTTACATAACTTAAACAATTTGTAACAAATATTAAACATTAGTGTTTAGCAAAACGTTTAGGAAAGAAAACAAACAAGACAAACTTATTTTTATACTAATTCACTTTAATAAAGCTACGTCTAATTTTCTTCTTTAACATACTTAAGAGGTTCCACTTATCTTTAAAAGATTACAACGTGTTTTATCATTCCTAGTTTACAAACTATCTAACTTTGGATAGATGAGTTTACCCACTCTTGGTTCAATATTAATCTTTTTGACTAGATTGTTTAGCTCAACTAAACTAAAACAACCAAGTGTTTTGATTCACTTTTGAATATACAAACACAACAAAGACTTTTTTGAAAAACAAGTACAAATTCAAAGCTCTCAAAGAGAGGATAATTTCACTACAAAGAAATCTGAAGACTTGTTAATTTTTTTTATTAAAAAAAAGTGTTAGATGATGAAACATTAGAGAGAAAGTAACAACATAAGATTCAAAAGCCTTCTTCGAGAAAGATTCGTTACTTATAGAGTTAACTTCGGTGAGGGTAGAAAGCTTTTTAGATACGAAGTCAAGTGCTAGGTTGGAGGGGGCAGAGCAACAGTGCTTTTAGTAAAGATGGCGTGTACGACTTGTTTAGAGCAAAATGTTAAGAAAAGATCGTTTAAAGAGAATAAACTATTTAACATCTCAAAGTTTTGAAGTTTAACAAACAACATTTAATGAAATATCGTTTGGAGATGTATAACATCTGGACAATGCGCACATCAGAACAATGCGCACATCAGAACATTCTTACTAAACACTTATAAAACAAATCATGACATGACATGTATAAAAAAAATAAAAAACATTTTGTCAAAAGTGTATCTAGTGAAAGAAGAAATACACACTATATCTTATCAATTATCATTACTTGAAAAAGGCCAGAGTTACACTAAACGCTTATTATACGAAACATGCTTTAACACTATATGAATGTATAGATCATTAGATGCATTTACGTACTGTACCTTGTCTATTCTGATTTTTTTCTCCTTATCTGTGCAGATATTATCAACACCAAGATATACTCAAAAGCACTGCATGAGGATCAGAAAGACATTATGAGAAAGGAATACATTCTTGGAATGTTTTCTAAAGCTTTATGTCCTACCATAACCATACAAGCTCTAACTGCAAAAACAATGATGCTCTTCCTAAGGCGTAGAAAAATACATATCTTAGTACGAAAAGCCACCTAATATCAACAAAGTCAACTATCTCTAAATATTAGTTATCTCTTGAAGAAAGCAAAAAGGAGGACTTGCACAAGAGAATGCATAATATTTTGCTATCATTGTAACGTTACACTATAATTATGTTTATAAAACAAAAGAAAGAATTTCACAAGTTCTCAGATTTCCTTATATTATTTAATCCTCTTACTGAGAGTTATTAGAACCTATACATGTAAATCAACACTAATTGCGTTTCGAAATTCTGAAGAGAATTAAAACATTTGTATCATTTAGCACAAGAGTGTTAAACTTACTAGATATTTGTCTAAGGTTGATATCAAAAGTAGTGTTTGCTAAATATTTGTTTGTTAAACTTCAAAATAATAGTTACTAGACGATCTTGTCTCTCTAAATGATATTGTTTTAACAATCTTTTTTTTTAAGTTTAACAAATACTTATACTAAACAAAATAGAGTTGAGAAAATTTTAAAGAGTTAAACAATATAAATCAGAACACTGACAAACATATAATTTAAATTATTAAACAATGTAGATTAAAGTGTTTATCATTTAAACAAAGTATATTAAAGCATTTAACGAGGTCAGCCAAAACATATATATACTGAATTTTAAAATCTGATTTAATGGTTATCGGATGTGGGAATAAAACCAGATTTTAAAATTCGGTCAACTTTTTAAAGGATATCGAAATCCAGTTTTTAACCTTACATAACAAATTTGTAATTCTAAATCCCTAGTTTCTTTCCTACCTGCCATATTCGAGTGGAATGATGTACTTGAAGATTAAAGATGATATGTGAGAAAAGTTGTACTGATGAGGGGGTGTGTTGTGGTGGTGTGGGAGAGGAAGACGAATTCTTTGTGTGGATCCTGCGACATTAGATTAGGAGGAAAAGTGAGTAAAAGGAATGGGTAGAATAAATGAGAATTTTTTTTTTACCCTAGTCAAAAGATTAGTTCAGGGATTTAGAGAAGTTTGAAAATGCAGGAAGAAAACTTGGAAGTACAGGAACCCCAAAAGTCACTTGGTCCATCTCTTGTTAACATCACCCTGGAGAAAATTTGAAAACAAGGCATAGAATAGTGTTCCGTGGCCACGGTTTTAGTGCTGAAGCCACCATCTTATGCACTGCCTGCTTTGGCCAACAATCATGCTCAGTTCCAGAGAAATGGGTTCTAAATGATGCCTACTATATCCACTCCTTGCTGGTTGTGTAAACCTCCCTTGGAGCCTCGCCTGCATAACAGATGGCTTTGCATGGCCATTTTCTTTTAGTTTTTTTCCTCTCCATAATGCATAATATATAGACAACGAAAATTTAACTGCACCGTTTTTCCAGGCTTCGTGTTCCAGAATCAACATGTCCTAAGGACTAGTTCCATTATTGATGGCTTCCGGGAGTTCAATATACAATTTTTTTAAATGAAAAGAATCCGAGTGTGTTAAGCTTCTCTCCTTCATCACGTTCTTCATGATTTGCCCGTTTAATTCATTTCTGCAAAAGGACCCAATGCAGAAACTATGAAAGACATAGTTCCAATGATTGATTTCAAAGTTATTAAAAAATATTGAACACCACTTACTAACCTTTGGGCAGTAAAAAACACGCACAGACCGGCAAAGCCAAGTTTAACATTACATCCGCAGAATTATCCTCAGAATTTTTCAAGACAGGTTCTAAGGAATTTAAAATAAACAATATCAGGCCATGAAAAATTTCTCTTGAACGATTAAATCCACAAATTTTTATTTCATAACTTTTTACCACTTCAAATTTCACCTCCCCTCCCATCGAAACATTCCGGGAAATGTTTTCCATTAAAGGAGAGGGTGAATAATTTTGGGGAAAAAAATTCCGGAATTATTTATTGTATTCCGGAAAATAAATCCCGGAAGTGATAGGATGTAGGAAGAAAATGATTGCGTGGAGGAAGTAATTGCCTATATGGTCAAATATCATATTTGAATTGGACCGTTGATTCACAGCTATAAGTATCGGGAAGCATGATGCAGAGGTCTGGGATGATTAACATCTTAGATGTATGTGCAATAGTAATTTTATATTTTTTACTGAATGCTATTGAACATATAGCTTAAATAATTGGTAATCCTTTTTATTGGTTAAGTATAGTCCTAACTAGTGTCAATTATTTATCATCCCACAGAAGTTCACAAAAATGTTTAATTACTCACGTTAGAGAAAACTTCAATCCAGCTCAGATTCGTCATTTCTGAAATTTCTGTGATGGTCAGATGATGGTAAAAATAATTCCGCTACACTACTTTTTACATATATGATCTACCATTCCATTTAAATGAGAATGGGCACCTATTAAGTCAAACGTAATGCAGACACCACAGTTGATGTTTCCAACACTAACTGATTTATATGCTAGGTTGCTTTGAGAATGCGGGGGAAAGCAGCTTCTCCAACTCCACTAAACTGAAACAAAATTAATGTGAGGAGAACTGGACTATGATTAAGTGCAATATCTACGTAGCCATACAAAGAAAATGTGTTCATTCACTTACATCTCATATTTACGATAGGCTTCATTTTTTTTGGCCAAGAACAAATCACTATCTTTGGGCAGATTACTTACAGAACTACCTGGAAAGTTTAGAGGAAAGATCAACACCTATACCTACAAATATACAGAAATGAAAAGTACAATCATAAATCCTTGAACACATGCATGATTCAAAATACACAATTGTTTTATGGTCTGACATTTTGCAGAATTAGACATATATAATCAAATTAAGAAAAATGAGTCATACTGAATAGGAAATAAGAAACTTAAAAAAGAACACAGAAATGTCTGAGATTTGAGCATCTTAAAATCAGATAGGAATTTTCTAGAGTCTGCCATTTGTATACAAATTGTGCAGTTATAAAAGTACCATAGTAGAAATAACAAATATATGGGGAGGGGGCATGAGATAGTAAAGCAAACTAAACTCCAGGTTCCAATGAAAAAGTTAGGGTGTTTCTCATAAATAATCATGAAGTTATACTTGGAGAAAATGAATTTTGAAATGATATTCCCACTTGTCATAACATCTTTTGAAAAATATTCTTGGGCATTATGCATTTCCAGGGAAATGAATTTATCGTGTCTTGCTTAATTATTGTTAATTATATGATAAGAGGTGCGCTTTCTCATGGCAAGGGAAACAAGGATGGAAATAACCTTACAACCCAACTGTTAGCATTCACTCACTAGTTTCTATCACATACTTTTAATCATCAACAGAATTTTGAAAAACATTTCAGAAAATGCTAAATGTTAACTAAGCATGCCTTTTAATTCTACAAAATGTCATTTTCAGGGGAATATAATCACATACCTTGTAAAACAGTTAATATTTTCACCAGTCCAGTCAGCAAACAAGAATATGGAGATAGACCAAATATAAGAGTATAAACAAGATCAAACAACATGAATACTAACCCACCCAAATTTCTCTCCTCAGGACAACTAAAGCTAGAGTGGTTTCTCACAACACTACACAGACATGCACTGACTCAACAGAAGCCTGTAAAAATGGCCACTGGAAAATGAGAAAAACTTAGAAATTGAACCCTACATAGTAACTCAAACCACAATATATTGAAAACAGAATAAATTGATTATGCATCGAAGTTATCGATCTCATAGCAGTGCATTACGGCTAACTCTGGAAACGCTAGCAGGATTGCTGAAAGCAGGATGAGCAATATTTTAAATATTATAATAATGCAAACTAAAAACTTTATACTACACATAATAAAAAAGGAAGCAATAATCCCTAATTTAAAGGAATTTATGATGAACAATCCAAACACAATCCCCATCAATCTAGGAGAAATTAGTGAAATTAATAGATGAAAAACATAACAAATTAGGAAAAAACAAATAGTAGAATATGAACTATGAAAGTCAAAAGGAATAAGAAAAAACAGAACAACGGATAAAACATATAGTTCTATGGAGTATGAACTAAGAAGGAATAGAGGTTCAAACCGAGGTAACTTTTTTGTGAATTTTTTACCAAAAAATACCCAGATAAAAAATAGTTATTGAACTATTGAAAACTGCTACGCTATTTGAGTCCAGTAGCAGCGGTAGGCTGCTTTGCTTCACTATCCTACAATTGCCTTAGAACACTATTGACAATGATATTAAACATGCACAAAATTAAATTGATTACACATGAGGATTTACACTTGCATTTGTTTGAAAGCATTTCTAACAATTTCTCCCACAAACAAGTTTCCAATAATGCACTTCCAACATATAGGATAATTCATAATAGATAATAAGTGCAATTTTGGCCGAATGAAGATGAAACAAAGATTCCACCGCATAAAGCATAGACAATTTAGAGGTAAGAAGAATAAAGCATACTTGGAAGGGGAGCTGAGTGTTTCATCACCACATCTTTCTGAATCTTCAACGGCGAGTCTTTGTCAGGCTGCTCTAAACCCTGTCGAGTAAACAAATATATGAAGTCGACACCGAACAAAAATTTCACACATGATAAATATTAAAAACCATATTCAATTCCATGACTACAGATAATTAGGTTTTAGTGCTTAATGGATCAAAAGATCACCAGATAACCACAATGTGCTAAAATGAACATGGTTGGAATTGAATACCTTCTTCTTATCCCTTCTTTTTAATATCTTGAGATGACATTTTTTTATGTAATGCATCAAATGGTATCGCGAATGCCGGGAGCACAACTGTTCTTGAACCTTAGGGTTCTCCGTTAACCAGTCAGAAATCTCCTTGGACTTAACCACCTCATCCTTATCCAAAGTCTCCAGCCACGAATACACCGGAATCCACTGATCAGTGCGCTGAAACCGCGCTTGCGGAAGATCAAGCTGACTCGCTTCCTGTTCCTGAAAAAACCAAACTCCGTAACAAATACAGAGCGAGAACAGAAAGATCGGCGCGTGTGATTAAAGGAAACGAGATCTGAAGAAAAGGTGGAATTGGTCGGAACCTGGTTGGGGAGTCTTATGCAATTCTGGAAGGAGATGAGTCGGTTGGAGAGATCGGGGCGAGGCATGGATCGAAGGCCTTCGGGAAGAGAGGCGAGGTTGGAGTCGATCCACGCTTCCACTTCTGCCATGCTCACTTCTTTCGCCTCCGGGAAGGAACAGAGCCACGCTCGAGCCATGGTTTCCCATTCTTCCGATTGTTGATCTTGTTCTTCTTGTTCTTGCTCTGGCTCTTGTTCTTGTTCTTGTGCCGTTGTTACATTTGGGTCCTCGGAGGTCGACATGAAAGGGTTTAGAGTTTTACAATAAAACTAAAACTAAAACGACGTTCCTCTTCTTTCTCACTGTCACACAATGTTGGCTTCAGGAGTCACACAGTCTCACTGTTTTTTTCTTCTTTTATTTTTTTCTCTCTCGTAAAAATAATCACTATATAGTTGTTTGTTTACTTTTATTCTCTTATAAATATAATTATTTAAAATTTTGTGTCAATTTCTTCTATATACATATTATTAATGTTAGTTCTTTTATCAAATAATATCAATTTAATTTTTACATACTAAAACTTTAAAAAAATATTTTAAAACAAGAATATTTATATTATAGATTAATCCAAAAAAATACATATAATTTCTTTTTGTAAAATAAAATTATAAAATAATAAATTTTTATATGATCATATAAATAGTTTATATTATTAATAAATTTATCTTATTTTTAAAATAATATTATTTTCAAACATAAAATTATAATATATTTTTTTTAAATTATATTTTATTGTATCTCAAAGTAATTAGAAATCATAAAAGGATAAAATTAAAAATAAAAATAATATTAATTATTTATTTATTTTAAAAATCATCAAATTTTAGGAATACATATCATCGATTAAATTGATTAATAAAATAATGTCAACCTTATACATAATTGACATTTTGATTAGAGAAAGCAATATTTCTATATAAGAACTAAAATAATAATACATTAGATATTAAATTATAGAATTTAAATGTATTGATATTTTTACAATAAATAAGTTTAAAAACAAATTAAATAAATAAAAGAGAAAATAAATTTTTATATGACAATGTAAAACACTTGTATTATATATATATATATATATATATATATATATATATATATATACTACTTTTAAAAATAAAATATATTTATCAAATTTAAGTTTATTAATGATAAATCATAAAGAGATCAAATTAAAAATAAGAAATTAGTATAAAACATTTATAATTTAAATATAAGTTATTAATTTATTAAATGATCAATTAATTATAGATTATAAAAAGATAAAATATAAAAAAGCAAAGACAAATTAGTTTAAAAATAAAATAAATGAATAAAAGGTAAAATAATTTTTTTTATATATGTGGTGGTAACAAATAAATCTTAATTAAAAAGAAATTGAAAAGATAAATTAATTAGAAAAAAAAAAGTAAAATAATACATCCCATTAAAATATTATAAACACTATTAAGGAATTATGACAATTTTAATATAATAAAATAGTTTACTTCAACGAACTTATAATAGATATTCATGTAGTTATCTCAAAATAACTATAAGTCTATATTATACAACACTTAAGAAAAATAAAAGAATTATGTACACGAGGCATTTCTAAATAAAATTGTACAAATTATCTAGTCTACTCAAGTTATACATAAGTGATATCATTTTACAAGGCTTGCTCCATGGATACTTAATCTCTCTATGCTTATACCAATCAAGTGATCATTGAAAAAAAAATCAAAACATACAAAACAAACAAACAAACAGAGAAACACAAAAAAGAGTAAGCTAATGTTAAAAGAGACAAACACACAATATTAAGAGTACTTCCAACATCACATTTCATACAATATTTACACAAACATCCTAAACAGACCATGCACTTATACCCAATCATCTGGATATATGTACTGATGTCAGACTATGCAAATTTTTGCACTTGTAGTTGTGAAACAACTATCCTCACCCCCTCCCTCAACTACCACTCAAAGTTAATTCGTTTACCACCTATGAACAAAGAACAACAGACTATAGAACAAAACCTCCTACTACTCCTCATCACATAATTCCCTTCCCTATCTGAGATAGAGCGATTATTGAAGCATTATGATAACTTTCAAGGCTAAGTCTCTACATCAATACATCACATTACTTGAAACCACCATCAAGAATTTCATCTTAGAAATTCTTTACAAACCATACTTGCTTCAATCATAACTTCATTCATAAACCATCCAAACATTTCATATATTATACCAAACACACCTTAAATCATCAATGTAATCATTATTCACAAAATCATAAAGGAAGAAACTCAAAACTCACTAAAGGAACATGACACTCAACACCAGAAACTCACCGCTCAACGCCACCAAATCAAAGAGCTCACTGACTTCGTGGCGCTCAGCACCCAAGCTCACCCCTTAGCGCCTAAAAGTAAGAGGTCTTACTGAATTTATGGTGCTCAACGCCCAAAAGTGACACTAAGCGTCCTGTAGCCTAGAGGTTCTCGGGTTTGACAACATTGAGTGTCACACAAGACCACTCAGTGCCATACCAGATGAAACAACTTAAAAATTCTTGGTTTAGGGCACTTGTGACCTATCCAACATGCCAAATTGGTTCCTTAAACAATAACATTTATGGTAAAATACATTTATAGTTAAAACTAGGTACCTCTTTGCTCATTAGATTGGAAATTAGGTGTACCAAGCCATTTCAAAACTCTAAATTACCTAAACTCAAATATACACCTTCTAACACATAATTTTGCAAATTCAGGGACTAAACAAGTCATAATAGACCCAATAATATACCTCAAACCTTCATTTTCATCACAACCTCTATACTTTAGATTTTTACTAGTTAGAACCTCCAAAATGAACTAAAATGATGGAAGAGACCCGAGGAGTTGAAGGAGAAGAGTGTTCCTAGATGGATTAAAGCTCCTCGAGGCGATCTCCATTGAGGAATACGCATCGAAAAATGACGAACTCAAAAGAGACTGACAAAATAGAGAGCGAATAAACCAAAACTATGAACGAACGAAATGAAACCCTAGACTTTGATAACCTTGACTTAAAAGACAACTTTAAATACTTCAAAACTTTGATAATATTTCATTGTTAATCTCAAAGTGGTTTTACAAGGGAGGAGATGTAAGACTCGAGGAAAAATAGGGGTTTAAGGAATAAAGTTTGGTTAAGACTTGAGTATGTTTCTTTTAAGAGTTGTTATGTCTAATAAGATGTTGTTTGTGAATATCTTTGCTAGACCATAAGTATGTTATTTTTTTAATGTTATTATTAATAAGATGCAACACATGATTGATATGTTGATAATTGAGTGAGTAGTGTGTGTGTGTGTGTGTGTGTGATATTATCAATGGGATGTGTTGGCTTGTTAATGGAAGGATGAGTTAGGATTAAATGGATATGAGTTCAATTCTACGGAGAAATGAAGTTAAAGGATACCTTTGATTAAATTGTATTTTTACTTAGGGGTAAATGGTCTTTTACCTTTATTTAATTGGTGTATAAATTAAATAAGTGGGTGTAGGAAGAAAAAGGGGTGTGAATTAAATTAAATAAAATAAAAGATAGATGTAGGCGTGAGATAGAAGGAGAATAGAGATTTAGATATTTTTAGTTTTTAAAATTTAATATTATAGAAAGATATTAGAGATAGAGTTGGGTTGTTTTATAATTATTAAGATATAGAGAGAGTGGTGGCATTTTGTGTTTTAGAAACCCTAAATCAAAGAGAGAGAAAAGATTGACATTTTGGGAGAATGAGAGTGAGAGCAACGGAAACCCTTAATGCAAAGGAAGATTGGTGGTGTTTTAGGGTTGAAGATAAAGCCCTAGTATTGGCCAAGGTATAGGGAAACTCACCTTTATTTGCTTGTTGTTGTATGTTATATGTGTTCTTGATTATCTTGATTGATAATTCTTTTTGGATACAAGTTTATATGATTATGATTATATGTTGCTACTATTGGGAAATGGTGTGTGTATGCATGAGCATAGGGTTTATATAATATTTATGAATCGAGTGTATCTGTATGGGAAATCTACAGATGGGGTTGTAGGAGGGGTTATAGTCAGTGAGGTAAGGTACAAGAGTGTGACTAAGTCTTGTCATGATGAAGTTCATGGTTTGGTGATGCTCATGGTGTTATTCATAATTGGGATAATCATGATGGTGATCATGGTATTGAAGATGCTCCAAAGGTTATGCTATGTTGATAATGGTGTTACTATAATGGTTATAGTAAGTATCTATGTGTGAGATGTTAATGAGTGGATAAACTAAATATCTATGTGTGAGATGTTAATGATAACATCAAAAGTTGAGATCAAGGATCAAGGATGGAAGTTTGAGGATCGAGGATCGAGTAATTCATTATGATTGAATTGTTTATGTTAGAAGATTAGAAATCTTATTGTTATTACTTCTATGTATGAGGTGTTTGCTTATTATTGATATAATCAGAAGGTATAAGGTATGTATCTTGTTGTGTGTTTAATTAGGGTTGATATAATAAGAAAATATGTATCTTGTTGAGTGTTTGATTATGATTGATATAATCAGTATATATGTATCTTATAGTTATAATTGTTTTATCGGTAGCTTATCCGATACATGTTTTTGTTTATGTGTTTGTGAATGAAATTATCAACGATGATCGTATAATGTGTTAATAAGCAGATTATACTGTAAATCTTCCAGAGGCATGATAGATTCGTGAGATGACGGGGGAAAGATTTGGGTTCCTTTAAAAAGTTCTTTTGACATATACTTTTGAAACAAAGTTGTTAAAATATAATGGTTCAATTTCTCACACCAAAAAGGGGGTGAATTGGTGAAGTGTAAAAACAAAAGCTTTTAAAATCTTTTTCACAAAATGTGATACCTTTACACTTTTCTTGAATCGTAAGGTAAATGGTTTGCAATGCAGCAGAAACTTAATCGAATGAATAAAGAACTTAATCGAATGAATAAAAGAGAGTAGGGATCAGAAAATTCAAACGTTGTGTTTTTATACTGGTTCGGCCAAGCCTACATCCAGTGTCCTTCCAACCATAGGAAGCAAATGCACTATAATGATCAAGGTTTTTACAACAAGGTTTCTACAAAAGACCTCACGTAAAAAATGTAAAACACATCTCTAACCCTCTAATCAAAATATAGGCAATACACAACAAGACCAGTAGTAGGAATCCCATTTCATGTCGTCTAACCCCTTTGAGGCACACTCAAAGTCAAGAACACACACGTTCTTCTTCCTGTAGTCACAACAGGGAACTCAAACCAATCTTCAAGAGATTGCAGAATCTGATCACGCAATAACACCCAAATGTGCAGATTTGATCAGTCTTTGA